GAAGAGTTGCTGCCAAATGTGATATTAATAAAGTTTGACTTTTTTTTCGTTTTTTTATTCATTTAGTAGTTTATGTTTTATTTTTTTCTTGTAAATAGATTGATGCAAGAAATTTAGCTATTATATTTGGACCAACATTAATTTGGGATTCAAAAGCATCATTACAATCAAATCTTGTTGATAATCCAGAAAAAATTCGAATTATTGAATCATTTATTTTATATGTATGTTTACATGTTTTTATTATCATCTTCAAATGTTAAGTCTTGTTTTCTTTTGAGATATTATAACTTTGACATTGTAGTAAGATCATTTGTTTTATAACTCTATACTTACTGTAAACATTTCGTTTATGTGAATAGTTATTACATTATTTGTCTTATCGAAATTCGATTAGAGAAAGAACTAAAATGTTCTGTGATAAAAGATTCAAAGTCTTTTATTATGTTGAAATGTACAAATATTTTAGAGAGATGATCTTCTATTGTGTCTTATCTCTTTTCAGAATTTTTATTTAAAAGGTTTTTTTTAAAAACCAAAGAGATTTTCTATGGTTTTAAAAGGCTAGAAATAATCTTGATTTGAATCTTTTTATATTTTTTCAGCTCAATATCCTAAAACCTAGGCATATTTTCATGTAAATATACTAATTAAAGTTCCAATTATGTCATAAACTAATTAAACAAAGAAGATATTTTATAACGTTGAGCACATCGTTTCTCCAGTTGAGATTTTCTATAACGAGGAAGGATTTATATCGTAAGATAAATGTCAACTGAAAATAATTTGAAATAAATCGATAGAATATGAAAAATTGAATAGAAAGACATTATTTTAACTGTCAATTAATAGATAATCAAATATTTGATACGAAAAACAATGTAATAAGAAAATTTCCATTATTTATTCTGTGTGAAAACGAACAATCTCTATTTAATGAGAACATTATGATATTTTATTGAAAATATCGAATTTAGTTTAGTTTGAATTACATTAACATTATTCTTATATTCTCTTATTTACTAAATGAAAATGAGATGATTGAATAAATTCGTTCATATCCTCTATGATTAATAGTTTTGAGTTCGTTTACAAAATGAAAATTCATTCTATTTAATATTAATAACAAACGAAATTTCGATTATTTATGAATACTTTTTGTCTTATGAGAGAAGATCTCCAACTGATCCACGCTGTTTCAATCAGATTTTGTTCATATATTGGAGACAGTATTCTAAGAAAAATCCTAAGAAGGTTTGGGTCGATGATGCTTCCTTCAAAAGTTATGACCATTTTACTGATTTTTCCACATAGCACAAGGTATATAGAGAAAAATTAGATAAGGAAATTTCAATCTGAAATTTTGCTTATATGTAGTTCTTGTAGTCATTAGAACACTCGAAAAGCTTCATTAACAAAATATCATTGAAAACGACGTGGACCTTCCCTCGTTAGTAGGATCTTTAAAATAAAAATGATGATAGATTCTTAATAAACGAATGGTACTGAAATAATCCATTTACGTATTTCTATTTTTATTTGTGAAATATAATTAATAATTTATTTAGTAACACCTTTCTAATACTAAAAAAAAAGAAAATAAAACTCATTTTTTGCAATAATGTAAAATTCCAAATATATTATAAATGTATAAGTTATTCTTATTTATTATAAAATAGAAATTGAAAAATATTTTTATTGAATATTATTCTAAAAAGAAAATGATTTAAATAAAAT